GATTGGCCGGGGATCCGCTTTTCGAGCTGAATGCCGGATTCCAGCTCGAAAAGCGGATCCCCAAGACAACCTTCATCACGGCCCCCTTTCAGGGAGGATCCTTTTTTTTTGAAATTTTTTTAGGCCGGGGATCCGCTTTTCGGCTGGAATCCGGCATTCCAGCTCGAAAAAGCGGGAAGGATCCCCAAGACAACCTTCATCACGGCCCCCTTCTCAGGAGGGATTGGCTGGGGATCCGCTTTTCGAGCTGGAATGCCGGATTCCAGCTCGAAAAGCGGATCCCCAAGACAACCTTCATCACGGCCCCCTTTCACGAGGGATTGGCCGGGGGAGCTGGAATGCCGGATTCCAGCTCGAAAAGCGGATCCCCAAGACAACCTTCATCACGGCCCCCTTTTCAGGAGGGATTGGCTGGGCATCCGCTTTTCGAGCCGGATTCCAGCTCGAAAAGCGGATCCCCAAGACAACCTTCATCACGGCCCCCTTTCAGGAGGGATTGGCTGGGGATCCGCTTTTCGAGCTGGAACGGCATTCCAGCTCGAAAAGCGGATCCCCAAGACAACCTTCATCACGGCCCCTTTCAGGAGATTGGCCGGGGATCCGCTTTTCGAGCTGGAATGCCGGATTCCAGCTCGAAAAGCGGATCCCCAAGACAACCTTCATCACGGCCCCCCTTTTCAGGAGATTGGCCGGGGATCTGCTTTTCGAGCTGGAATGCCGGATTCCAGCTCGAAAAGCGGATCCCCAAGACAACCTTCATCACGGCCCCCTTTTCAGGAGGGATTGGCCGGGGATCCGCTTTTCGAGCTGGAATGCCGGATTCCAGCTCGAAAGCGGATCCCCAAGACAACCTTCATCACGGCCCCCTTTTCAGGAGATTGGCCGGGGATCCGCTTTTCGAGCTGGAATGCCGGATTCCAGATCGAAAAGCGGATCCCCAAGAACCTTCATCACGGGCCCCCTTTTCAGGAGATTGGCCGGGGATCGCTTTTCGAGCTGGAATGCCGGATTCCAGCTCGAAAAGCGGATCCCCAGATTCCAGCTCGAAAAGCGGATCTGGCCGGGGATTTTCGAGTGGGTAACATCGGTGATACGCTCATTACCTACCCAAAAGCGCCTTCGGCCACAAGATCCTTTGTCTTAGTGGTCAAGACCTTTCTCTGCGATTGGTAGAGGTCTTGGGTTCGAATCCCGCCGTGACAACGAGCTGGATTCCGGACCGCAGCTCGAAAAGCGGATCCCCAAGACAACCTTCATCACGGCCCCCCTTTTCAGGAGATTGGCCGGGGATCCGCTTTTCGAGCTGGAATGCCGGATTCCAGCTCGAAAAGCGGATCCCCAAGACAACCTTCATCACGGCCCCCCTTTTCAGGAGATTGGCCGGGGATCCGCTTTTCGAGCTGGAATGCCGGATTCCAGCTCGAAAAGCGGATCCCCAAGACAACCTTCATCACGGCCCCCCTTTTCAGGAGATTGGCCGATCCCCAAGACAACCTTCATCACGGCCCCCTTTCAGGAGGGGTCCGCTTTTTCCGCAGAGACTGTGCTTTGTTTTTCCGCACATTTGGTTGTTTTTTTCCGCTCTGCGGGGTTCGCACGTTTTCCGCGCGCAGCGCCGAGCCTCGTGAAATCCTGGTGACTTGAAGACTTGATCATACGTGGGTTGATTCCTTCGGGAGTGTAATTCAAAGTAATCCTCACCAAAACGCCCGCGGTGCTCACCAAAAACACCCCACCCTTGAGGCGGATCGGGCGTTGCCGGGAGTGCTGGAGAAGACGATGAGGAGCTGCTATTGGAGCTGCGTACCCCAGGCCCATGGGTCAGGGGTCCCAAAAGATTTCTCGGTTTCTCGTTTTTGGAGAACCCAAATGTGGGCAGTTTCATGCAGAAACCCACGAAATCGCAACTGTTTGAAGGGGAAATGTGGTTGTTCTGGGCGTGCTTCCTTTCCTCGTTCTTTTCTGTGGGGGGGGTGGTTTTCAAGGGAAACCAAACGGACCGAAATGTTGGAAGTTGGTGGTTCCCTGGACCGACACATGTTCCAGGCTTTGTTTGGGCAGGGGACGCCTAAAATTGATTGGCTTGATGTTGGTTCCGTTTAACACCCCCCGCCCTCCCCGTTTGCGGTCCCGATGGATCCTGCCAGGTTCCACAGGTCTTCCGGCCCGTGATGAAGCCCGCGTCCCAGCAAACCGAGGAGTTCTCAAAATGACTTTCGGGGGTGAGGTCCCTTTAAACCATGTAGAGGGCAGTCTTGGGGGAATGTCATGTGTATATACTGGTACCCAGATGTATCGATGTATTCAAAGATTCCATGTGCCGTTGGGTTTGCACTGAGGTTGTCTCAAGGCCCTCCGGTGATGGTTCCCGTTCCGGTGGGGTCTCCCCAGCCTTCCCGCACCCCGTCGCCGCTGCCGAAGCAGCCCCCCCAGCCCTCGACTCCGCCAGTGAAGCCACAGCCGTCGAGCCCGCCCAATGTGTCCCCGTGCTCCACGCCGCCGCTGCAGCCACAGCCCCAGCCCAACCAACAGCCGCAGCAGAGAGGCCAATCGCCCACGCGTATGCCGCACAGCGCCTCTTGCTCCGGGCCGATGATGCCAGTCTATGCCGCAGGCCCCATGACTGGGCCCTTGCCTAGCGGCCCGCTGCCCAGCGGCCCGCTGCCCAGCGGCCCCTTGCCCAGTGGTCTGCTTCCAAACGCCAAAGCTGGCATGCCCGGAGTTCCCCAGATGTTGACGGCATCACCCAGCGCCCAGCAGCTGCCTGTCTATGCCCTGCCCAAACAGCCACCGGTACAGGCGCAGGCACAACCGGCGCCGCAACCGCAGGCAGGGCCAGCGACTCAGGGAAGGACAGAGGACGATGTGGTGCACCTGACATCACGGTCATCGTCCATTAGTATGGAGGAGGCACAGCAACTGGGGTACAATGCCCGAATAGAAATCGCTGCAATGGACAACAAGGAGCTCGAGAAAGAATGGGAGAAGCGGAGGGTGGACAAGAGCCTCCAGGCAGGGGCAAAAAGAAGGTCCAGCCTCCCAAAAAGTTGGCTTATGTGAAGTGAAATGAGGTTCGCTGAACATACCCATTAAGTACAGTACTGTATGAATTTGAAAGGGACATAGTCTGTCACCAAAACCTTTGGACTCCGCGTCCTTTGCAACTTCGACTATTGAGCTTGTTTCAGCCAAAGGAGATGAGGTCCTTTGACGACTCCTTCGATTTTGCGGATTTTGCGGACATCCGCAACGCCGACGGCCCTTCGGCTCAGGATTCGGGGGCCTGAAATGAGGCCGTTGCAATCGCACATGTGGCAAGCGCGGTGGCTAGGGGTCCCAGTAATTCGGGTTAACGAAGAAGGGTTGCTGGATGGCCCCGAAGGGTTTTCGCGGAGAAGCTGAGGCTCAATTGGCGTCCAAATGGGACCCGGAGAGCGGCGTGTGATGTTGTAAGTGCGGCGGCCTCAAGCCGCTGCCAGTCCGTAAGCTGATTGGTGCTGCGATCTGGTTGTGCCCACACACACACACACACGTTTTCACTACTTGGTATGTGTGTGTGTGTCGATCTGTGAATTGACAGAATTAACCAGCAGGGAGAGTCCAATAATTGTTTGTCAGCTGGTGCATCGCTCCTCCAGTAACATCGTAGATACAACATCTTGCTTTCCCGTTTCGACACCGTCTCAATGCCCTGTTTGGGCTGCTGCAGACTTGCGTTGCCTGAGGCGTTACTTCAGCCAGAGCCAGCATACAGTGAGCTCAGATAAGACGTCGTATTCTGCTGGCTATTCTGCACAAACAGAAGCGGCCGAAATGTTGGGCTGCCGGGCAAATGAGAACGTGAAAGCCACCGCTTTGCGGACGTCCCCTGCTTCAGGTGCGTAAACAGGGTATTTGCTTGCTTCCATGTTTCCTTCGAGGCAAAGGTTTCGGATTTGAAGCAGGGCGCATGCCCAATGTATGGCTCCGCTTCTCCCTTTTGTTTGCCTGGCCTTTCTTGTACAGATGACTGTATGCTTGGTAGCTCGGCGCGTGTCATGCGGGCGAGGCAAGCTCCAGATGACTGAAGTATTGTAGCCCAAACCTTACGGCTGGATTATGTGAGCTTTCCTTCCATTAGCTAATTTGTGTTCTTCTCCAGCTGTTTTTAGGGGAACTGGTCCAAAATGGCACCCTTTCCAGTGTGGTGCCCTCGCTCAGACGACGCGTGCGCAGATTCCCCAGTGGCTGCTCAGTTTTTTTTATTCGGGGGAACTCAGACCTCGGCTGCCCTGACCGCATGTTGGCAGGATAGAAAGCTATGTTGACCCGCAGTAGTGAAACCCGTGGTTGGTGATTTTGGGTGTGTCCTATTTTAGAGGGATCCTTCCATATTTGGCGGGAACGCCCCCCCCTCCCCTGTTCATCTGCAAGGGTTACACATTTCCGGGTCAACATTAGGACACACAGCTGAGGTTGTGTGCAAGGGCAGCCAAGGATTTTGGGATTTTGGCACAGACCACGTCCTCAAAGGACTGCGAATTGTCCATTGCCTCACCAACCTCCCGCCATTGGGTAGACAGTCTTCAGCGCGTTTCAGCCGGAACACCCAGACAGGAGAGCCTTAAGCTTTACTTGCGGCTTTCCAACTGCATGCGAGTGCCTGGCAGAGGTTCCTTTGATTTAAGTTCACAACATGTCCACAGCCCCTGGTGATCACATCCCAACACGAAAATGGAACCTGATAGGCACCTTCAATTGCTGACGCTTTGGAATATGGATATGTTTTGTTGCGAAGGAAGCCGCCCATTTTAAGGCCGCCTCGCATGTTTTATTGGATACTTGGGGGGGGGTTCCAGCAAGTTCTGCCAAAACAACATGCATCTCGCATGGTATTCTGTACTTCGAGGAAAAATGAGCTCACCAAGGTCCTTGACTTGAGGACTCCTCATTTCAAAGTGAAGCCAATGGCGGGAAGGCCGGCTTAGCACGAGCCATCCTGGATCGGTGTCCTTCAGTGACGCCCTTCGCCTGAAATCGCGTGAGGCCCGGGTTCCAACGGCCTGAGGACCGGGTTTGGGGTTTAGAGCATACAGGCATACAAGCATGCACACACATACATACATACCTACCTACCTACATGCGACCTACATGCGTCCGTACGCCGCAAGTACGGACATACGTACATACACACATACATACTTCCACACGCACGAGGCTAGCGTTGAGCAATATCTTTGGATACAAGCGACCAAGCAAGAGGTTCATAATGTTGCTGTTCGTTTCTTACACATCCTTACACCCTTTCTTGGGATGGGCTCCTGCGACGAGATTGTCCGCTCCTTGCCCTTTGAAGAGCGGGCTGTCTTCGAATGCACTTAATTTCCTAACCTTCCAAGAAGGGATCAGCTTCGCGCGAATGCGCTTGGGAATTATAGTCGGGCGCTGTGCTGGGTCGCGCAGGAGGATTGCTCGATCCGCCCAGTTGCCCTGAAGCCTTAAAAATGCCGTCTTTGCGAAATGAAACTCGATGCTGATGCGACGGGCTCATCATTTTCGTCTCCTTTGACGGGGCGCACTTTCTCGACATAAAGGCCATCGTTGGGAATATCATTGTTGTAAATTAAAGTGTGTGTTTCTTTGTGTTGCTTTGGAGGGTACCCCCCAAAAAAAAGGTTTTAGGGAAGCCCAAAGAGAACCACCATTGTGGCGGAACCCTAAAAACGACACACCCAGGACACACCTGTATGTCTCTTCATGTGTACCGGAGTCAAAACTTGCTTTGGAAGACTCCAGCAGCACGGTGTTGTGTCCATCGGTGCCAAAGTTCAGTTTGGCGTGCGACCGGGCCTTGAGTGCTTCTTGAATTGTTGGCTGCTTGCTCCTCTCGCATTGCCCTTGGCTCCAGAGAAAACAAGATTGGATCTTCAAGAGTCAAGAGGGCCACTGAGACGCAGGGAGGAAAAGCGCATGTGCATCTGATCAAAGGCAACAGAAGTTTCAACTTGTCATCTGACTTTCCGGAACGGTACGAAGAAGAAATCCAAGCTTGCAGTCTTCCGGGGACAGACATCCTGTCTTGAGTTGGATGGGCCAATAGCTTGCTGCTGGCGAGCCACAGGCCTCAGTTTTGCAGCTTTCATGATTTTCATTCTTGGACCAGCTCAGTGTGCATGTGGGCTGCTCATAAGATTCACCCGGCATAGGCATGGACGCTTATCCGCTGTTCGTTGGCGATTCATGGTGGCTGCTTGTGCCTGTTGAGGCATAGTCTCAAAGGGACAAACTCGGCTCTTGGGAGTCATGTTTTACCATCCCTGCACGAACCCCCGTCTTCTCAAAGTCAAAAAGCGTGCCTGAAGGCAAAGTCCCTCGGGCCCAATGGTGACCTTGAAAGTTCTATGTTCACATGCTGCGTGCCGCACATGAAAGCAAAGGGTTTCTTTGCCACAAACTGCACTCAGCATCCACGCACCTATCCCCCACAAGTATAAGGAGAGTGGATCGTTGCCTAGGCGATGACGGCGCCCAAAAAGAGGAAGCAGGCGGATTGCGCCGGCGTTGGCTTCAGAGGACCTTCCCATAAACGGACAAGGTTCCTTGAAAGGAGCAGGTGCAAATGGGCCACGAGCAAAACTTGGATAGATGAACTTTAGGAGCGGAGTCCAGATACTGGTTGGTGTTACTATCAGTCAGATGTCAAACATACCGACAACTACAGCCGTCGCAAGGGGGGTTGCTTTGCGTTGGCTTAGGTCGCCCTATTGAGATAGATTTGAGGCTCTGCCATGCTTTCCAGCAGTCCATGTCTATGGTCTATTTGGGACGGGGAAGTTACTTCAAAAAAAAAGAGGACTGCAACTCATGTTCCCAGGTCCCCTAAGGGAAGCAATCATTTTTACTGTGGCTCATTTGTGGTGATTTCTGGCTGGTGATGAGATGGCTGAGACAAAGGAAGCGCACCTAAGACAGCTCCGCTAAGGATCTTAGGCCAAAACACCTCGGTCCTCGGAGGTTTGAAGCCATGGCTTTCACGGCCATGAAACATTGTCAGACCGGCCTGAAACCATCCGAAAGCCAGCTCCAAAAAACCAGGGATTCGTAATTCACGAGTGAGCTCTCAGCTAGCCAGTCCTCGTCCTCAGCCTCATCTTCTTCAAAGAAGTCCAGGCCGGACTGCCGCTGTCAGAGAAGGGAACCAATAGAAAACCATCAGAGAAGCTATCCTTTGGGAGGCTATGTGAGGGTATCAGCGTACGGCTCCTTGGGGTGAAACGTGTTCGCTTTCACTTTATGTGGTGGCATATGCTGAAGTTGCATATGTGAAATTCAGACCTTTTGGCCCTCACCGAGCTAGGTGTGTGTTTTTCTCGTGGGCTCGGGCACCTGTTCCAAAAGGCCGATCTCCAGGTCAGTGATAGCTTAAATGCTTGGGGATGAAATGACGGGGAGACGCGGCTATGTAGCAAAGCCTCGCTCCCCCTGCAGGCTGTTGAGGGTAATCACACCGCTCTGAATCATCTTGTTACTGAGCCAGCAGCTACTGCGTCCGCATGTCATACTTCAGTGGCCAGGAGTTGAGGCAATGCAGCCGCTTCGATTTGAAGTAACGCACTTGAGAATCAGACAGGCAGTCAAACAGGCATTGATGCCCTCGCTCCTCTTTGCAAGATGACACCTTCCGCATATTTACCGTTTTCATTCTTGGGACGTTTCACCGAGACTTTCCCCACAGTCCACCAGGCCCCTTTCCCAAGAGAAAGGCACAACATTTTGAGATCAGGGCCTTTACCTTGAATCCTCCCTGAATCAATGAATCAACGTATTCTTGCATGACACCTTGGGCTATTACACCCCTTGTTCACCCAAAACTACTCGCGATCCCTGGGTGCCACCCCACCCCAAGGACCCGGTTTTGACCCCCATGTTGCCATTCAGCTTCCCAACCGGTTGGGCCGGACACACTGACCCACCAGGGTTGGGCAAGTTTGCTCAAGCCACAGCCTGGGGGATGATCTGAAGAAGGGTTTGGACAAGGCTGAAGAGGCCCGACAGCTTTGGGACCTTATCCCGATGCGAAGATGGTTGGTTTCCTGTGCTTGTCCTTGAAAAGCACCCCAAACAGAAGTCACCTCTTAAAACGACAGCCACATAATTTGGGACATGTGTTTTTTCTGAAAGAACACCAACATGTGTATTTGTTTTGAATTTTGCAAAATCCGCGCGTCGACCCCCTGATAGACCGCTTACCAAGTCAAGCCTTTGCCCCGTCGAAGCCGTGAGCGCTAGGCAGCCCTCGCCAAGGGGAGTTCGTAGGGCCGGCACGACTCAGCGGCCGGGCAGGGGGCTGGGGGAGGACTCAACCCCTTGGCGAGGGGATTCTTGGTTTGGAATCTTCACTTTGGACAACCAAGGAATGTGCCAGGCTGAGTTATGCAGAGTCAACATGTCGTAGCCACCTCAGACCTCAAGTCTTGGGCGGGAATTGTTTGCAGGCACTAGTGAAAAGCTGCATGCATTTCAGGGGTTATCACAGATCCATGAGTGAATCACTGAGCTCACTCTTTGTTTGGTCGTTCAATTGGGATCACCAGAGCTTTGCACGAGAGATGTCCTCCAAGCATTTCTGAACATGCTGAAGCGCGGTAAGCGACTGCACATCGTTTGTGAAAAGTTATCCCAGGTGTGTCACAGGACCTTACGCCAGCGACGTCGCTCTGCTTTCTGCTTTTGTGTGGGTGTTTTTCCTTTTGGTTTGCCTTCAAAGCCATGCAGAAAGGGTTGCCCAATTCTGAGAATCCATGTCAAGCAGTTGACTGAGGTCAGTGTCACTCCTTCACCTTCACCAGAGCCTCCTCCCCGCATCTCGGCGGAAGCAGATGCAAGCAGATTAGGGTCTCTGATTTATCTTGCTAGATTTCGAGTTTCAAAAGGGACTTGTAGGGAAGCAGCCAGTTGGAAGAGTCCCTAGTGTGGCATACCTGACATTGAGCGTGCTCCATAAACAGTGAGCCAGCATGCGGTTCAAGGGGAGGATGAAGGGGACAAACGTTGGATTCCCGATTTGTGCACAGCTTGAGAATGCCGACAGGCTTTGTGAATCGACCAGCGGGCGCCTCAGTGTTGCAGCAAACCCTGGGAGCTTCGATTGTGTTTCCTAAATCTATTCGCAAACTTCCTATTGGATAGCGTCTCACTTCCTGAGTTATGTACTGGACTTGATACTTTTTGGGAAGACCATTTCGGTTGCAAGCAAGAAATGCGACTTTTTCTGGTCAACGGACTCAGGAGGTGAGATATGTAGTGGGTCTTTGAAAAGGGGCACACATGTTCAGAGTTCCACTGGATTGGAATGAAAAGCCGGTTCCAGCTGACGCTTCAGATCTCGATGGGTGGAGGTTCAGCATGCGATTGTTTGTGCTTGGTGAAAGGGGCACCAGGGAACCGCTCTTCAAGCCGACCTTTTGACCTTTTGACCTTTTGGTCTTCCCATGACTGGTCCGTATTTAGTCATGGTCCCAAATGGTCAACCTTTTATTCCTGGTCCTTGGGGAAAAACTGAGTTAAGTAGGGGGTCCTACTTTGAGAAACCTCTGCTTGGCTTGACAGGTAGAGAGCAAGCGGCTTTCCCCGTCTCCTGCAAGGCGGGATATCAGGATATTTAGATTGCATGTGTCAATCACAAACCCTCCAACCCCCTGGAACTTCAAGGCTAAGCGTCTTTGTGTCGTGTTTTCAATCGGAAACCATGTGCCTCTCTTGCAGGAATATTGTAATTTGTTTTCCAGCCTGTTCAGATTGAACTCATGCTTCGCATATTGGACGCAAGATGCAACTTTGGGTGTTCTGCGCGTAAGGGGCAAAGATTCGCCAGAGCAACCGTGGCATGCGAATGAGCATAGCTGCGGAACAGGGATGGAGCCGGAATTCCAAGAGGATGTGGTGCATTAAAACGATCTCACCAGGGAGGAAGAAAACCAGCTTACCTGAATGAAGGCCCTTTTCTACATGTCTTTGCAAAGGGTTCCCTTGTATCCAGTTTGGGAATGATGGATTTCTGCAGCAACTTGGTTTGACAGAAATTGCAAGACAATCCGAGCTGGCAGTCGAATCCGCAGGCGATCGCCAGAGAGAGCCTCCAAGGGCAAGGGGAAAGGCGCCAGAAGTTGCGCATGAGCCGCGTGCGCCCGCTTTTGGGCCCGAAACAAAGTTTTGTGTGCCTTTGCCTCAAAGATCTCAAATGAAGTCGAATTCGGAACAACAGAAACAACTGAGTTGGGAAGTTCCACAGGCAACCTGCGGAAGGGAATTGTTCAAGGCCGCAGGTTGGGGAAGGCTTTTGAGGGTTGACTACCTGGCAGATACCGCTTCTCTGAGTCTTTCCCAGATGCGGACCCCAGCGGATCATATGGGAAGCATTGGTCCGGCCAGAAGACTTCGTCACGCACGCGTGTCACCCAAAATGGAGAGATTCTGCAGAGATGTTCTTTTGGGCACAACAAGCAGACCACAAGCCATCCAAAACGGAGGGTATCATTTCGAGTCCAAATTGAAGGGAGGACTGCTCCTTATTTTGAGACACATCTCTTTTGCTGTTGCCTTGAGCCAAATTCACAACCGGTCTATGTTGTGGCCGCTTCTGTGTTATGCGATTCATTGTTGGAACACTCTCCAAGAATGGCCAAGCGGGTGGACGGGTGGGGCATAAGTCCAATTATATTTTTCTGCTGTCCGCAGGCGAAGAGCGCAACGGATTGCGCTTTACACCCATATGACTCGTTTCGTGCGCCAGGCGGGGAGGTAGACACCTGGCGCGCCGAGTTTGAAGAGGCGCGAAGCTGAGTCACCACCAGGTTGCTGTGTGGTGACTTGCGAAACACCGGGCAGGTTTGTCATTCCTCCAAAAGCAACCCTGCACTGTTCGACAAAGACATGGTATCTGTCCATTGAAGTCGCCTCCGAAGAACAACCCGAAGAGCACCGCCCAGAAAGCACAAGCCAACGTGAACTTGGGAGAGAGCATGCACCAATACTGGAAAAGAGTGATTGGGGGCAGTGGATGGAATGGAGCGGTAGCATGTAGGCTTGATGTTTGGTCTCATGCGTTGTCAGTCATAATTCCTCATCAAGCAGGTTGTTGCCACAGGAGGTGAACATGGCTGAATTTGGGAAATCGCCAAGTGCCACATGCTTTCGGACCCAGGCATGAACCCTGATGAATTTTGGCCCCAATACCAATCTTCGCAGGAGGAGCATCCTGCCACGATGGGCTGTGGGTAGGCGTGTGCTCTTTCATCGGCTGCTAATTCAAATCATTGCCAGGAATGTCATTTTCGCTGTTAGACTATCTTTGGACAAACAAACAGCCCCCCTACACTCGGATTTGGAGTTCCAAAACTGGCCCAACTGGCAGAAGCCCGCGCTCCAAGGCGTGGCTGCTGGATCGAACAGCCATGAGGGCCAAGTCCTTCTGGTCCTTCGTGCCGAGAACTCGGGCGAGCGAGATCAGGGTTCCTTGTTCGACTACCCCGATGTAGACTTAAACCCAGGGGTGGTTGATTTCCTTAGGATCGGGTTCAAGTCTGCCTGGATATCATCAACAAATCGAACCCTGACCGAGACTGTGTTCTTTGCCAAGTGCATAGGAAAATCATGAGTGTCGCTGCTGCCCGCAGTGTTGCACCCGGACACTCCCTGGCCTTGTTAATGACACCCAGTGTGTCCTGTTGTCTCACTCCGCTTTTCTCCAGCTCTTGTCGCGTAATTTGCTTTTTCTTGGTGAGGTCATTCGGAATTCGTCTCTCGGAAAGCCAATGGCCACCTGCTGCCACGAGTTGGCCAACAAGGTTCTTGTCATTCCCCGATGGCGTGGATGCGTTTTTTTGTGTGTGGTGGGCGGGGAAGGAAAGGCGGGGGGGTAGCCTTTTTGGTTGCTTCACCAAAGAAGAGCCATCAAAGTTGGAGGCTTTCCTATGTTGAGAGCATGGTTCGGACTCAGCCATTTGACAGATTTCACGTGTGAATGCCCAGGACCATGTACCCTCGGTCCCCCTCGCCGCAGCGAGCGGATGCACCGCCGCCAGAAGAGGAGGCGCATCGGTTTCGTCGTGTTGATTTGCTGGCTGCTTGTAGGGACAAGCTGAGGGGTTAGCGATTTTGCCACCAGATAGGAGGTTGCCCAGCACAAGCTAGTATGGGGCTATGAGAGTGTCTAGTATTGCTGTTGCATGTGGCAGACCTTGACTTGTGTTTCTTTGCACCTACTTGCTTTGCACGATCATCAGCGATGTCGTGGTTCCTTCCACCGTTCAAGGGTGAACCGGGCCGGTGTTCAACCTTTGGCAAATGGAAAGAATGGGTCAGGGCCAAGGTCTTCAGCATCGCACAGCTGGGGCTTCGCTCTGGGCACAGCTTGGCTTCAACACCACTTGCTGACAGCACAGTCATTGCAAACAACTGCCATCCGAGCAGCGCCTGCGCCCTGTCAAAGGCTTTGGATTACGAGGCTCTAACCTCTTGCGAGCTAATTGCCTTGATGCGAGTGAAGCTCATGATTCTATCTAATGCTGATTGTTGAAGCCAACCCAAACATCATTCCAAGAAGTCAGTGCTACGGCAGAAAGGCGTGGAAGACTGTGCTGGGATGCTGAAGTGAGCGAGCGGTACTTCAATACCAAGCAGGGGCTTCACAGAGCCGTGGGCACAGCGTCGCTTGGCTTCCAGGCACCACCTGACGGCAAGTGCAAAGCAATTCGAGCGCCACCCCGTGAATTCAAGCCCGGGAGTGCATGACCATCCCAGGTCTGGACCAAACCACAAGGATAGGAGAATTCATTGGATCCTTGGGTTCTTCGTTGTTTTCCTTTGGGCCAATTTGCAAGATCTCGAATGAGAGCTCGAGACTGTCAGGCTCCTGCTCCTGTCACCAAGGCTGGGGGCCG